GGAAAAGACTCACCCAAGGTCACTCAGAAGGTCAGTGGCAAGGAGCGTACATGCCAGAGCTCCTGAGGTCCCTGTCCTTTCCCAGACAGGGAATTTCCAAGCCCCCCCAGGCTGTTTTAAAGGGTCCTTGCTCCATGCAGGTGTCATCTGTTCTCTCCAACTCACCCTGCCTCCACGGACGCCCTTTGGTGTTTTTCCTTTGCATGACATCACCCAGCTCCTGATCTGCTGCCAGCTCTCTGCTTCCAGAGAGGACCCTTTACTGGCTGGGACAGAGACATTCGGACTGGGGCAGTGCTATACTTCTGCAGTCCTCCACAGCTCTGCTCTCTCCTGGGAATAGGTGCATCCCGAGAAGGTAGGACCAGAGGGGCTGGGCTGCCTGCCTGCAAGCAAGGCCCCAACATGGTGATTTGGAAAGCCTGAATACCTCCACATGCTGAGGACAGAGAGTACCAAGCTCCCCCAGGGATCTGCTCCAGCAGGCACATTCCTGCATGGCATCAACAGGAGCCAGCCGGAGCGTAAATGTGGCTGTCACCCTTCTTCCTCCAGCAAGAAGGCAGATGTTAAGAGAGGAACAGTCCCTGCCATACCGGCCATGTCTGAGCAGGCTCAGTATCAGCACCAGGACCAGTCCTGTCTCTCTGCTGATGTTCTCACTCTGTGCACCATCGCTACCCCAGCTTCCCTTCCCAAGCAAAGGGCAGGACTGTTTTCCCGCTGAACAACTGTAGATGCACTTTGACTGGCCTCAGGGGTTCTGGCGGCTTTGCCTTCCTTGGCTCTAGTGCTGCCAGTAGGGCAGCCAAGTGGGAAAGCACCAGTCCAGCCCAACAGCAGCAGCCCACCCGCACAGAGGAGGACGTCTGCTCCCACCCACCGCCCAGCGGACTCTCCACCAGCCCTCAGAGAAGGGCCGCTTCTACGGCAAAGGCACCGTCCATCCCAGGCTCACCCAGACTGAAAAGAGTGGCTCGGCGGACGTTGTCACTTAACAGACCGCAAATATGGATCAGCCTTGCCCACCAGTTTCTTTGCACTGGGTGCTTGCCCGTGCAGCTCCTGGCACGGCTCAGCCAGCCAGCCATGGGTCCGGTCCCCGCAGGAACAGTCACTCTTTGCACAGCACGGCCTTCACAAGCGCCCCCTCGGTTCTCCCGTGCCCAGCGCGAGGCCACAAATCTCTTCTGACATCACAAACCTGAAAAAACTTCTGCCAGGGCCCAGCATCGTGAGGTCGCTCTTGCCTCAACAAATTGCTACCTGGCTTCTGGCATAAAGTCTCTGGCATCAGCCTCAAACAGCCCCAGTGACCCTGACCCCCCAGGAATACGCACAGCAAGGGTGCAGATCAGCCCTAGCAGTGCCAAGTGTCCAGCATTCAGCAGTGCCTGAGGACGGGGCTGGTTCTCTTCCCCAAAAGTCTTGACCCCAGTGACTCTCCCCAATCACTGCTAATACACTGAGTGTCTGCGAACACAGGAAAAAACCCAAAGCGTAGTCCCCAGCTGCAGGAAATGAGGCCCCCTCTGAGAGGCAAGGGTTGGCAGAGGGCATTTTGGGAAGAAGCAGGCAGGGTGCCGTAAGCTAGCACTCCCTTTCACTTGTCCTGGGACCTTCTTGCTAGGCTTAGTCCCCCAGTTCCTAGTTCCCTAGTCCTCCTGGAGAGGAGAACAGGCAGAGTCCAGGGAAAGACCCATCGCTGCCCATGAGGAGAGACCCCAGCTACAGCCTCCATGCAGCTGAAGAGCTCTTTGAGGAGACAATCAGAGCACTCTGCCTTGCTGGCCACGAACCCGGGCAACTCTAACAAGCCTAGGGCCACCAAAATGTGGGCAGAGCCTGGGGCACCCCTGGGTATGGCTCATGCCACTCCCTGCCAGCCTCCCACTGGAGACCGACCCGGGAGGGAGACTCACCGTGTCCCAGCCACCCGCCCCGGGGAGCAGAAAGTGCGGGCAGAAACAAGTGAGGAGAGGGAGCTGGAAAGAGAGCCAGGGCCCCATCCCACTGCCAAGGGGGTGGAGGTCGGGGCTGCAGGTGCACTCATGGCACACATCTACCTTTGGCCCCTGCCTGATGTGGTCTGAGCCAGGAGCCAAGCGCCCAGGGCTCCCCGCAGCCTTCCCAGTCCTCTGGCTGGGAAAAGCACTCTAGCGTCAAAGAGCAGCAGGGACGGCCAAGGGCTGAAGCCTGGGCTTTTTCCCTGGAGCCTAGCAGGGATGAGGTGGGACGCAGAGGCCTGGGAGGGGCAGAGCACGGAGCCCCAAACCCCCTGGCCTGCCTGGCCTCAGCTGGCTCCCAAGGCACACACAGGGTCAGCCCTCGCTGGCCACAGCCACCACCAGCAAGGCAAGGGCTCCCAGCCCCTCATGCTGACATGAGGAGATTCTGATTCCTTCCTGCTCTTCGCTAGGTGCCCAAGGCCAGGTCCTCACAGTCCAGCCTAGCGTGCTTAGATATGGTAGACCATTCCCGGGGAAGGGGTCCACTCTGATACCCTAAGGAAGGATACAACCAGGATAGCAGATAGCATTTCTGAATTAATTAGTTGGTGTGACTGACGCTACAGCCTAGGCTAGGGCAGAAGGGAAAACCAGTAACCACAGCAGCTCAGCCTACTGCACATCAATCTTCATTTATCCCCACTCCTCTTCCCATTCCATTTCTGCAACATTTACTCATTTTCCCATCCCTCCCTGCAACACACTGAACTGCAGCCAGTTCCCTCCTCTGAGGACTCCCTTTGGTTATTGGCGAATGAGGAGTCCTTTACCAATCCCGGGTACCACTGCTCACAAGATGCTCCAGGATGCATCCTCGCCTAGCCCAAGGCAGCATCGCTTACGGCTCATGCTATGTGCACTAAAGGTCTGCACTCAGGGCACTTGGACAGCTGACAAAAAGGACAAGGCACGTTCAGCATCGCCTGCCTTTTGAATCGGAGAACTCGGAACACTGGCATTTGGGCAGCAGGTCGGAGCCCACAGAGAGCAGCTGAGGATCACAGGCCAGGCCTTAGCACGAGGCCACACGAAGTCCCGTAGCGTAGAGATGCTTTGTGCAAGTGTCTCCTACGTCAGAGCACAAACAAACACAAATTGAAACCAGTCCTCATGCACAACAAGAGCCTGTGCCCAGGAGCGGAGACCGGTTGCTATTTCTGTTGGCAAGAGCCATTGCTTCTACGCACCTAAGGCAACTGGTAAACTTCCGCTTTTTGCCTCCCTTCAGATCCACGCTTGACAATTTGGAAGCTGTTTTGTGCACTTTCTAAGAAATGACCTAACTATGTCTGGGGAGAGTGCCATGGCTAATTTATCTGCCTCAATAGCATCTCTGCAGACATCCAGTTAGAGGAGAGAGGAGCGCCCCTGCCACCTTCCCAGACGTGGGCAGAAGGGACACTCTGCCAACAACCCCAATGAGACCTGACACTCCTCAGTCACTCCAGACGACGCTGAAGTCTATTACCAGCAGCCAATTTCCACCACCACTGAACACAGCTGTGACAAGTACAAAGAAAAACTGGTTGAAGAGGCAGAGGAAAACTCTTAAACTAGTGAAAAGCATCAAAAAGACTCCCAAAAATTACCTAAGAAAAAGCCAATGCCTGCCAAAAAAAAAATCAAAGACACCATGGATGGTTCTTGCTCACAGTCTTCCTGATTGACCTTAGCACACAGGTGCCTGAGGTGCCCAAGGAGCCAGGTATTTAGGGTCTGCTTAAGATCACTCAGGGCCCGGCTGCATTCGGCCCTCGAGGTGCTGCTTGTAACTTCTTTGCTGTTCTGCCACAGGAGGAACCACGGGGAGAAACATAATGATCACCTTCGGCGATTGAAGCAGAATGGAAGGGCAAAGCAGTTTCCCTTCATTGAGCTCTGCACATCCTGGTTTCAGCTTAGCTTCCACACCGGGGACACCAGAGGGATGTGAAGCCGGGGAGACAGAATGCAGCTGGTTCCAGAGGCAGCTCAAAGAGGGGTGAGTAAAGCTCAATTTAAATGTTGGATGTGGCAGGGGAGGGCTCCCCCAGCATGTCCTTTAGCTGGCACAGCCTCATGCTGCTCTACTCCCCCACAGACAAGAAACTCTCCAGCAGGCAGTGAGTAACCAGGCACAGGAGGGGAATGGGGCTTCTCGGAGCACAGGGTGAGGATCACGGACAGCAGTCCCGTAGAGAGGAGAGCAATCCACCTCCCCGAAACTCAGCCCCCCAGGTTCTAACGCAGAGAGCAGCCAAAGCCCAGAGCATCTCAGCGATCCCACACGACACAAGACGTGCTGCATTGTTTAGGAGAATTAAGCATTGCCAAACAGCCACGGAGAGAGGTGGGGGGTTGTCCAGTCATAAACTTGTACACAGCAAAGGCATTTCTCTTGGCATAGAATCCACCCTGATGCTCTCGGCTTCCTAAATGCTCCACAAAAGCACAGAACAGCTATTTCAACGTGCTCTGTCCAGCACCATTACAACTCTCAGGAGAAAAGCCACAGAGAATTAAAAGCTGATCGAAGATTACAAAGCCTCAAAGTGACAGTGTCCTAGGCAGCAACACTCCTTCCTGGACACAGATCCTCTGGGTTCTTCAAACCCCATTCCCATTTAAGCCACACGACCACTGGGGGTAACACCCAGACCACAAACACTGAGAAACAACACGGCCCGGTGACAACAAAGGCAAAATGACAAGCGTTTAAATGAAAGTTACTCAGTTTCCCAGGGCTGGCAGATGCATATACACAAGCATGCACACAAAGAGAAATGGACTTCCAGGCCCACAGAAAACTCTTCTTCCAGAAAAACAAAAAAAACCAACCCCTATGTTCATGCAGGAGCTGCTGAGGAAAGTGAGACACAGGCAGAATGCAAAAATGGTAGTCCAGCCAGCAGCACCCTGCCGCTGGCCACCACCTCGCTGTGCCTTTCCAATGAGGCGAGGTGGGAAGGGGCTGGGGGGACAGGTGAGAGAGGGCTGATGGGGGTGACTTACCTGCCACAGTTGCAGTGACAAACTCGGTCTTCCCCTCTCAGATGCGGTAAGATGTAATTGTGAAATCTGTCCAACAACGCATTCATGTCCATCAAGCAAGCTATTGCCTGTAAGAGCCCATAACCAAGGCATCTGGTCAACTCTGGATGATGGAATAAAACATTGACTCTAGTTTGATTGCCAAAGACTGAAGCGGTCATAAAGAAAATAATCTTGGGTGTTTAATGGGGCGCACACGCATGCACGCACATGCATACACACAGAGGTGCACAAGCTAAGGGACAGTGGGG